AAAAAAAAAAAAAAAGAAAGAAAAGAAAAGAAACTGTTGGGAAAAAAAGAGAAATGAAGTTCTAACACATGCTATAATGTGGATGAACCTTGAAAACATTATGATGAGTGACGTTAAGTCAGACACAAAGGGACACATATTGTATGATCCCACTTATATGAAATATCCAAAATAGGGAAATGCAGAAAAATCAAAATTTATTAGCGGTTACCAGGAGCAGGTGGGAGGGGGAAACCGGGAAGCTTTGCTTATGTTATACTGGGTTTCTTTTAGGAGTGATGCAAAACTTTTGGAAATGGACAGTGCTGATGTTTGCACAACATGGTGAACATGATTAATGTCAGTGAATTGTATACATAAAAATGTTGTTATATGTATTTCACAATAAAAATTTTAAAAAAGAGAAATAAGAAAGCATACACAGCAGAGAACAACAGAGTGATTTACTTGTATGAGGTGGATAGATGGAAGAAAGAGATAGGAAAGGAAATGACATTTCTCTGAGCATAGTTTTTTGTATAGTTTTGCCTTTATAATTTAATGATAATGTTCTATATATGAAAAAATTAAATTAAATCAATGAAGAGAAAAAACCTAGAACTGAATGCGAACTAAAACAAATGAACTCAACTACATTTTAAATGTATAGCATAGGTATTCTGAAGAGGAAAAAGAATTTAAGTAATGGTGGTGTAGTGCCTAAGGCATTTGACTGCTAACCAGAAGGCTGGTGATTCAAACCCACCAGCCACTCCTTGGAAGGAAAACTGGGCAATCTATTTTCGTAGAGATACCACCTCAGAAACCCAAGGAGGGCTTGCTATGAGTTGGAACCGACTCGATGGCAGTGAATTTTTTTTTTTAAATAAATAAAGTACTCATATACACTATACTTTCAGTCTTGGGGTATGGGGATGTTTTGAGTTCATTCTATCATGATACGCGTACAAAAAAGCGAGCTACAAATATGAGAGAAGGAAAACAGGAAACCGATGTAAGTGGGTTTTAATTGGAAGTATTGTTATAGGCATAATTTCTAAAATGTGTGTGTGAGTGTGTACATACATATATATGTGTATCATATGTATGTAATATATATGTATACATATATGTGTGAGGAGCTCTGGTAGCATAGTGCCTAAAGCACTTGACTGCTAACCAGAAGTCTGGTGGTTCAAACCCACCAGCCACTCCCCAGAAGGAAGGTTGGGCAATCTACTCCCATAGTGATACCACCTCGGAAACCCAAGGAAGGGTAGCTATGAGTCAGATATGACTCAATGGCAGTGCGTTATATGTGTATATGTGTGTGCATACGTGCAGGTGTGTGTGTGTGTGTGTGTGTATGTGTATACATGTATATGGAGTCCCTGGGTGGTATAAAGGGTTAATATGTTCAACTTCTAACCAAAAGGCTGGAGGCTAGAGCTTTTGGAAGAAAGTCCTGGCAATCTACTTCTGAAAAATCAGCCATTGAAAACCCCATGGAGCAGTTTTCCCCTGACTTAAAAAGAGGGTCACCATGAGTCAGAATCAACAAGACTGCAATAGGTATGGTGTTTGTGTATATATATGTATACATATTATCTATCTGTGTCTGTGTGTATGTTTGTGTGTATAAACAAGTATATATTTCCTAACTGTCTGGTAAAAACAAAGATACCCCAGTAGCAATGTGAGCATCTAGCATCCACATCTTGGTTTCCAATACCAAGAAAAGGCTAAACATCTTCTTGTGCCAGAATCTACTCAGGAGGAAACACTATAAAACCCAAAATGAGGAACATTCTGTTACAGAAAAAAGGGCAGACGTGCATTATTATGTCAGTATCATGAAAGACAAAGGTTGAGGGCTGTTTCAGACAAAAGGAGACAAAAATATACACAGAAGTATTTAGGGATAAAGGACCATGAGGTATGCAGCTTATTCTCAAAAATAAAATGTCAAAAGAGACAAGAGAATAAAATGTCAGTGAGAGAAAGGGGGAAAGCATGCACACACATATTCACACAAATAACCGGTTAATAAGTTAATGCTGGGGCAGAGTATTAGCAATAGACGACCCTGGATAAAAGATGTATAGACATTCTAGCATTCATACATGTTTTCAGTAAATCTGAAATTATTTCTAAGTATTTTTTTAAAAATACAAATCTTCTAGACAAGGTAACACAATAGGTTTATGCTTTGGCACACACACACCCTCCCACGCTTCACACATACAGCAATGATAGATAAAATATAAAAGAGTAAACCAAAAAGATATAGCCAGGCTTAAAATCAAGATGAACATCTCCATGAACCAAAAGCAGAAAAGCATTCAAAGCAGTGTACAGCGTCAAGGCCACTGGCCTGCCGGCTCAGGAAACAGACACTAGCAGCTGTCAGTTCTGCTCCTACAGGGTAACAAGGACTAAAAGTGCTCCATACAAAATGTGACACAGAAGCCAGACTTGCTAACTGAAGGCAATATTGCTGATGAAAAAAGTCTTAAAACTCACATGGGGTCTGCAGAAGGGCTATATCCCCTCTGCTCGGGATGCAACCTGCAAAGGGACAGCAGGTCACTCACCTCTTTATTTAAAAGGCACTTAATAGTCTGACAGTTTCTGGAAGAAGAAAGTTCACTAGCATCTGTCTCCTGGGTCAAGAAAAGGAGTTTCTGACCCACTGAGTCCAAGCATTCTAAAACACCGGAGAGAAGTAGAAAAGACCAAAGTAAGAAGAACAATAGTTTTCCATAACCAAAAAGTTATTTCTCTAAACCTGCACTACCCAAGATGGCATCCACTGCTAAATTAAAAAAAAAAATTCTAATTCCATTTCCCACTCACACTACTCCACTGCTAAATTAAAAAAAAAATTCTAATTCCATTTCCCACTCACACTACTGTCATGTGGCTACTGGCTACTGTACTGGACAGCACAGCTATTGGATATTTCCATGACTACAGAAGATAATATTGGATAATATCACTCCACAGTTAGGGAGAGGAAGGATAAAAACCCAAAGCTCTGTCAAAGCTTACACTACTGTCTAAGGATTTGATATGTTTGTCATGGTCTGAAGCCAAATCCCTTCTGTGCCTATTTTTTTGTTTCATTTTTTCAATCTGGGCAATACATCAAGACTGGCTCTTCCAATCAAAATACCAACTAGTCTAGCATCTCTCCCAATGCAATTTATTTAGTTCAATGTATTTCAATGTCTTATTTTTCTGGTAAAGGATGTCATTTTCAGACCAGCCACTAGATTCAGAAAATTAGAAAAATAAATAGATATACTAATTTGCTAACTTTGTATTCAGGGCAGATGGTGGTATTTTCCTCCAACGATTTTTGTGATGGAAAAATGTTATTAATATTTTGGTAAACATTTCTCAATATTCAAAAGAAGAAGAAAAAATCCCAGGTTTTGTTGTTAAATAAGAAACTAGATACACCATTTGCCTGTGCTCTTGCTTAAGGACTGAAAAATATTACCTTGTGTTTGGCTGCTGCACGTCTATTTTATTTCTCGGCTCTTGGCCTGATGCTTGCAATTCATGGCAACTGGCAGGTGCCTCCAGATTGACCTGGGCAATTCTGTAAATAAAGTGGTAAAAACATCTAACTTCTTGCAAAGCATTTGAGATAAGAAATAAAACAAGAAAAAACATTCAAGCAGTGTTCTCTGCTTCTTTATAGACAGTGGTTTTTCCCCCAAGTTCCAGCCTGGCTTTGATAGTTACCAGTTTCTGGCTGCTTAGTTAAGAATAACAATCTGTTACTAGCTGCCAATGTTGTTACATGAATACAGGAAAGGACCAAACAGGGCTGAAGGAATTCTGGCCCATCACATATTCCATAGGTAATCATTTAAAATTTCTCTGCAAACCTGCAACGTTTGGAAATGATCAAAGGCAGGCTTTTACAGCAACATAAAGAAAAGCCCTCTTACTGGTTTAACACAAGTAATGCTATTCAATTTATGCTTGAATTTTTTAAACTTTTGTCTTTTTCTAACAGACATTATAGAAAGGATGCAAACTTATGCATGACAGGCATAAAAGCTTACTCTAATTAATGTTTAAGTAGCCCTGGTAGCACAGTGGTTAAGAGCTTGGCAGCTTGAACCCACCAGACTTTCCATGGGAGAAAGATGTGGCAGTGTGTTTCTGTAAAGACACCTTTGGAAACTCTGTGAGGCAGTTCTACCCTGTCCTATAGGGTCACTGAGTTGCAATCAACTCAATGTTACACAACGACAGCTGATTTTATTCTTCTTCCAAAAAGTGAGCAGCCACTTGGAAGTGGTGTGTGCAGAGATTGAGATACAATTGTTTAAATAAAATTTTTAATAATTGTATTCTATTTACAGAAAAATCATGGAGACAGTACACAGTTCCCATCCACCCCACACCCAATTTTCCCCTATTATTAACACCTTACATTGTTGTTGTTGTTATGTGCCGTTGAGTCAGACCTGACTCATAGCAACCCTTCCTTGGGTTTCCGAGGTAGTATCACTATGGAAGTAGATTGCCCAACCTTCCTTCTGAGGAGTGGCTGGTGGGTTTGAATCACCAGCTTCCGGTTAGCAGTCAAGTGCCTTAGGCACTACGCTACCCGAGCTCCTAACATCTTACTTTACTACAGTGTATTTGTCACAATCAATAAGGCAATACCATACATTATTATTGACTGACGTTCATATTTTGTTTTTATCTCCTTAGTTTTTACTCAACCCAAAAAACACCAAACCCACAGCCATCAAGTCAATTATGACTCGTAGCAACTCTCACTGGGTATCCAAGGCTATAAATCTTTACAGAAATAGATTGCCTCATTTTCCTACCACAGAGCAGCTGGTGTTTGAACCCCCAACCTTCTGATTAACAGCCAAATGTCTTACCCACTATGCTATCAGAGCTCCTTAGTTTTCATTCAAGTGAGATATAATTTTTACTAGAAAAAGTGGTCCTAGGACCCCTGGGAGTTTGTGGTAATTATGTTTGTGTGTCAACTTGGCTGCGCCTGGTTGAGTAGCTGGGCAGCTGATGGTAGTTAGTTCCCATGATGAGACTGGCAATCAGCTCCATGGTGGAATCTACCACAAGCAGCTGAGTAGCTGCCTTTGGGATATGCTCTGCTTCCTGTACATAAGGAGAAGCCTTGGGAATGTTCTCTAGCCTAGGGCACACTTGGAACCTGCGTGTAGTTGTGTCATTGCTCAGCAGCCTGCTATGCTCTAACAACCTTGGGACTTAGAGTGGACTTAAGTTAATGGCCTGCCGTGTGGTTTGGTAACATCTGGACTGTACCTTTTTACTTGTCAACCTTGGGGCTTCTCAGGCTCAGCGGCCAGCAGCTATCTGAGTGAAGTAATGCCTCTAGCCCCAGTGGGCCAGAAGCAGGAAGCAGAGCTGGACCCCAAGGTTGAGGGGCTTTCACCCAGCCCCTAGAGCTTAGCACTTTGAATTTGGACTTAAAGCCTCCAAACTGTAAGAGAATAAACTCCTGTTAAGGCCATCCCATTTATGGTATATATTCCTGTCAGAGTGGCACTAGGTAACCAGAACAGAATTTGGTACCAAGAGAGTACAGTGCTGCTCTGACAGATACCTAAAATGCGGAAACAGGAGTGGAGTGCATCCTTGTCCCGAGACGCTGGCAGAGAGACCCCGGCATACAGCATGACAGATGGCAGGAGCAGAGCAAGAGACCAGCATGTGAGACGGCAGGGGCAGAGCCCAGAGACCGGCATGAGACAGCGACAGCCTTACTAACCCACAGAGGAGAAAGCTTGATGCCTTTGGTTAGGCGGCTTCCTGATGGAGTGGGTTGCCTTCAAGCATTAGTTGGTAAAAGAGACCGGCTTGAAATGGAGTAGCAGGTTGGCAGGCCCACGGAGCAAGAAAGCTAAATGTCCCTTTGGGCAAGAAGATTTCCAGCGGAGTGGGTTGCCCTCGGGCATTAGTGGGCAGAAGCTGAGAGACGAAGGAATTGGAAGCAGAACTGCCTCAGCCTGAAAGGGGAGGACCATGGCCTTTGGGGTGGAACGACCACAGCCCCCTAGGTTTCAGAGGCAGACCTTCACCAACTTGGTTCTGGAGTGAGCCACTGGGATAGAGCCACAGCCGCTGCCCAAGAGTGAGGGGGCGGGGCTGCCATGCCCAAGAGGGAGAGGAATGGGGCCCACCAGGCCAAGGGGGCGAGGTCGCCACTTAGAGGAACTAAGGGACTGGAGCCACCCAGTGGAGGAGATCTGTACAGTTGCCAAGTTGACAAGGGGTGGAATTGTGGTAGTTATGTTTGTATGTCAGCTTGGCTGGGCCTGGCTGAGTGGCTGGGCAGCTGGTGGCAGTTACTCCCCATGATGAGACTGGCAATCAACTCCATGGTGGGATCTACCACAAGCAGCTGAGTAGCTGCCTTTGGGATGTGGTCTGCTTCCTGTATATTAAGGAGAAGCCTTGGGAATGGTCTCTAGCCTACAGCACGCTTGGACCCTGCATGTAGCTGTGTTGTTGCTCAGCAGCCCACTATGCTCTGCCAACCTTGGGACTTACAGTGGACTTGAATGAATGGCCTGCTGTGTGGTTTGGTAACATCAGGACTGTGCCTTTTTCCTTGTCAACCTTGGGCTTCTCAGTCTCAGCAGCCAGCAGCTCAGCAGCCAGCAGCTGTCTGAGTGAAGAAAGGCCTCTAGCTCCAGTGGGCCGGGAGCAGGAGGCAGAGCTGGACCCAAGGCTGAGGGGCTTTCACCCAGCCCCTAGAGCCTGGCACTCTGAACTTGGACTTAAAGCCTCCAAACTGTAAGAGAATAAACTCCTGTTTGTTAAGACCATCCCATTTATAGTATATTTTTTGTCAGAGTGGCACTAGGTAACCAGAACAGAGTTCCAGAGACCCTTTCAGGAAAGGCTTATGAGATCCTCCCTTCTCTCATTACAGAACAAACTGAATGTCAGAAATTCACAGAATACATAAAACAATGATACTCTTCCTGCTAATTAAAATTATAAAAATATATTAACATGTAATAGTTTATTGTTTTTTTAAAACAAGTATTTAAAAATTTGATCAGATTTAAATTCTAACAGTGTAACTATTGCAGATAGAACAAAAAAAAAAAAAAAAAACCTCACTGCTGTCGAGTCAGATCCGACTCATAGCAACCCCTCCTTGGGTTTCTGAGGAGGTTTCATTATGAAAGTACATTGCCCAATCTCCCTTCCAAAGAGTGGTTGGTGGGTTTGAACTACTAGCCTTCTGGTTAGCAGTCAAGTGCCTTAGGTACTGCACCACCAGAGCTCCCATTTGATAGATATAACCCACAAAAATAAAAGCTCTTTAAGGTCCTCGATTATTTTTAAGGAGGTAAAGAGTCCTGAAACAAAAACATTTTTAGAATCTCTGATATAGTGGCTTAGAACAGGGGTTGGCAAATGCCAGCCCTCGGGTCAAATCAGGCCCAATAGCCTGTTTTTCTGTCTCTAAAGTTTTGTTGAAACACAGCTGCACCCTTTCATTAACATATTGCCTATGGTAATTTGCAAAGTACAATAGCAAAGTAGAGATAGATAGTATAGCTCCCAAAATTAAAATATTTACTATCTGGCCTTTGTAGAAGGAGCTCTGGTGGCCTAGCGGGTAAGGCATTTGGATGCTAACCAGGTCAACAGTCCAAATCCACCAGCTCCCCCACAGGAAGATGAGGCAATCTACTTCTGTAAAGATCCAGTATTGGAAGCTAGATGGGGTCACTAGGACTGGCACTACACTCAGCGGCAGTGTGTTCTGGTTTTGGCCTCTGTAGAAAAAGTCTGCTGATCCCTGGGACAGAGCACTGGGAGACAGCCTTGGAATCTTACAGACTTGGATTTGAATCCTGGTTCCACTCTGACTACCTGTGGGACCCCAGATAAATGGCCTAAACTTTCAAAACCTCAGAGCCTGCACATATAAAATTAGGATGATGACAGTTAGCTCATAGGGTTGCTGTAGGATTAAATAAGGTAATGTGATCATGTAGAAAAAGCATCAGTACACTTGGTAAGAGCTCAGTAAATGGGGGCTATTCCCTACAAGAAGGATACCATGTTTGGTAAATTAGTGAAGAAGAGGAAGACCACAGTGGCTGCAGTGATGGACTTAAGCCCAGAAAGGCTTGTGAGGATGGCACAGGACCAGGCAGTGTCATTCTGTTCTACACAGGTCGCCATGAGTTGGAGCTGACTCAGTGGCACCTAACAACAACATTCCTTACAGCCCAGTGAAATACCTGGGAACATCTTTCTATAGCCAGAACACAAAACCCTACTCTAGCTGTTCATTATTATTCGATGTGGGCTACAATTCATTCCATAAAGGAGTCATGATGGGATAGTCTAACATGATAGAATGCATTGTAATAAGGTCTGTTAGAAACTGTGTCCTTTTCATAACTTATTACAAGGTGCTGTTCTAATCCATACCTACTGAAATGCTGT